AGCTTGAATCTACAATATTTGGGGATGATTCCATATCAATATGACTAATTGTGGCTTTGTTGTTCTTGAAAAAGAAGATTTTTAAAGAATTTTCCTATATATTCCTATGTAAAAATTTGATCCCCCATTGTATCCCCACCCTACCCCCGGGGGTCATGATGTGAACAAATTTGAATCTACACTACTTAAGGGTCCTCCACACACCCCCAACTTATGTTTTCATATTACTGAGCATTACTTTTAACAAGTATATCAACCTTTAAAACCTGGCCAGGAATTGAAATATAATTTATACTGATTTTTTAAAAATTTAATTTCATAAGTTTTAAGATTTTTTCCCCACTGAGTTTTGATAAGTAGCACAACAAATTTGGTGTTTTCCTGGAATATATTATTAAGCCTAGAAAACAACCACAAAAACTTAATTTTATCAGTGAACATATTTTTTACAAAAATTAATAAAAGTTATGAAAAATAGATATAACTCATTTACTCTAAAATACATGGAGAAAAAAATATGGAAGACTCCTGATAGTATAGAAGAAACATTAATGAATTAAATTACGACAAAAAATTGAATTAAAATCAAATTTATTGATTAAAAAAAAAATATTTTCAAAATCTGTGGTATCAAAGTTCCTTTTTAGAGTTATCTTTCCTGTTACCGAGGACTCAAAAATTTTGGTAAGTCTCCGCATACGTCATCATACATGTACTCAGTAACTCGTTATTAACACAACTGAACAGGACAGATATAAAATGAGCAAAAATAGAAATGCACACTTTATAAATATCTATAAACACACAATGAGATAGGTATTATTGAAACGCACAAATCAGTGTGCAATAATATCAACTTTTCACAACAGTCTGTTACAGACCTTGTTGAAGATATCGCAATGGATTTAGTAGCCTAGAAATATAAATAAACTTTAACGTTTTCGAGTAGATATACCTGTTATTTACGAATCATTATGCTACAACAAATTCAAACGTCTGCTGTTTTTTATTGAAAAAATCGACACTTTTTCTTCTTTCGGTCACTCCGTGATCATGCCATGTGTTCATTGTTTATCATAGGGTGTCGCTCTCGGTTGACTGCATACTCTTCCTTTGGCAAAACCTTTATAAGTAAAACGTTTATAAGACTCTCTTACAGGCGGTGCCAGTCAAATCGTCAGTGTACAAACTATATAAAACCGGAAGTAAAAGCATTTTTTCTCTATATACGTCACAAGTCACGGGGTGTGGAGGACCCTTAAAGATGATTCCATATCAATATGACTAATTGTGGCTTTGTTGTTCTTGAGAAGAAGATTTTTAAAGATTTTCCGTATATATTCCTATGTAAAAGTTTGATCCCCCACTGTGGTCCCACCCTACCCCCAGGGGTCATGATTTGAACAAACTTGAATCTACACTACCTGAGGATGATTCCAAATCAATATGACTAATTGTGGCTTTGTTGTTCTTGAGAAGAAGGTTTTTAAAGATTTTCCGTATATATTCCTATGTAAAAGTTTGATCCCCCATTGTGGCCCCATCCTACCCCTGAGGTTATAATTTGAACACACTTGAATCTACACAACCTGAGGATGATTCCATATCAATATGACTAATTGTGACTCTGTTGTTCTTGAGAAGAAGATTTTTTAATAATATATTCCTTTATAAAACTTTGATCCCTCATTGTGGCCCCACCCTACCCCCAGGGGTCATGATTTGAACAAACTTGAATCTACACTACCTGAGGATGATTCCATATCAATATGACTAATTGTGGTTTTGTTGTTCTTGAGAAGAAGGTTTTTAAAGATTTTCCCTATATATTCCTATGTAAAACTTTGATCCCCCATTGTGGCCCCACCCTACCCCCGGGGGTCATGATTTGAACAAACTTGAATCTACACTATGTAATGAAGGTTTCACATAAGTTTCAACTTTTCTGGCTCAATGGTTCTTGAGAAGAAGATTTTTTAAAGATGACACCAAATTTTCACCAATTCTTAATTATCTCCCCTTGGAAGAGGGCATGGCCCTTCATTTGCACAAACTTGAACCCCCTTCACCCAAGGATGCTTTGTGGCAAGTTTGGTTGAAATTGGCCCAGTGGTTCTGGAGAAGTCAAAAATGTGAAAAGTTTACAGACGGACGGACAGCTGGACGGACAGACGGACAGCTAGACAGACAGACTACAGACAAAATGTGATCAGAAAAGCTCACTTGAGCTTTCAGCTCAGGTGAGCTAAAAAGTACTGAAAGAAAATGTTTAAGTAGCATGATATAGTGAGACACCCCCTCCCCACCCCCACTTCCCCAGAAAAAAAGTATGTGGGGAGGGGGGTAGGGGGGTATAACTATATACTTCTGAATTTGGTTTCACTTTTAATCTGCAAAAATTCCATGTAATATACATGTAAAATGTCAACCCAGTACACAGTGTAGATTTACTGAACACCTGTTACAGAAATACACAGCATTCCTAGACACAGCTGTGTTAATATCAATGGTGTCTATATCTAACTGTCAACATTGTACAAAATGTTTGTAGTCAATGTGATGGAATTTTGTTTGAATGGAGTATTTAAAGAACTGCATATCAACTATTGATAAGAACTAGGACAATCCCCCCTCCAACCCCCCAATTTCCACCCCCTCGCCCCTGCCCCCACCCCCCATTTTACAACCATTTTTTCCATTTCATGACATTTTTAGTGACCTTTTAAGTTAACCTGCAAACCACCCAATGTATTCATTTCCTGGCTTAAGCAGAGGACTATAAAATCATGTCAACCCAAATAGAAGACAGAACCAACTAGAACTGTCCAATAGGGACAAATACCCCCCGCTGGGTTTTTCAGAGAAAGTACCAAATCACTAATGTTTTCTAGATGTGAGAGGTGTTCACAATTTCCTTAAACATTTCCAGTGAAAATTTAATTACTCATTATATTTTTTATATGTCCTTCTTAAGACGGGACATATTATGTTATAGCGCTCATGTCCCTCCGTCCGTCTGTTAGCTTTTTCATGTCCGGCTTATTATTTAGTCTTATTTTTTTCATTATGTTCTTTACAGCAATCTGTAACAAGAAAAATTCCACCTCTCCCATGGGTGTAATGATCAGGCACTGGTCAAGGAAAATTTTGATAGCAGAAAATTGCATGTCAAATTAGAGATAAATTAATGAGTTTAGTGTGAGGTGATAACTGGTAGAGCATCTCTGATCAAGCAGGTGTTATCTACATCTCTTGGGAAATGGGCAAAAGGAATCAGTCTCTTAATTAATTGCTTGTGTTGTATTGAATTGTTCTTGTTGGCTAGTCTTACTTTCAAGATAAATTTGATGTAATTAAAACTAATTTGATATTGTTTATAATAATTAAAACTTATATGATATTGTATAATATAATTTAAACTAATTATTTATTGTACATTTTTTATTTGAATTTTTATATCTTTACAACAAATTGCAGATTGCCTTGTCTCACTAAGATGTCATTCGACCAATTGAATCTAAACTGTTTATGATAATTTAACAATATTTGATGGGCGTATAATGCTGTGGTGGGGCACTTTATTTTAATGAATGAAACTAAGGTGCAGCCTAATAAAATATCAACACTAATAATTACAGTGTTTTTTATTACATTGAAAAAATAGTTTGCAACTATCTGTCATCTTTGTGAGACATGACACTCTGCAAATTGATTGTTGAAAAAAAAAATATCATAATTAATAATACAAAATCAAATTGATTTTAATACCTTTATATCAAACTCATTTTAAAAATAAAAGGCTGGTTTTAGTAACTATGTATTTTGACAGACATAAATAACAATTAAGAGACTTAGACAACAGAGATCTTTATTTCTTTCTGCCCAATTCCCCGGAGATACAGATAAGACCTGCCTGATCAGAGATGCCCTAACAGCTTCCCACACTGAACTCATTAATTAATCTTTAACTGGATGCATGTCCACTCATTACTCCCAAGGGACAAATGGATTTACACTATCTGCTGTGTAATGTAAAAACTGTTTTTAATACTTTGTGGGGTTTTTTTTTAGTTCTAATGAGTAGTTTTAAGCTGTAGTTCACATTTTTGTACAGATGTTCTAGATTCTATGTCTCAAACCTTAGACATGAACCCGAAATGACTAAGTCAATAAAAATTTTAAAAAAACACCTGTAAAATGCAGAAAAATTATCAAATAATGTTGAAAATACCAGGTGCACATCTTCATATGGTAAATAATAAGTGTACAAATTTTCATACAAATCTATGCAATAGTTTCTGGGAACAGATCCAGACAAAACCACATAATAAAAATGAAAAAACACCTGTAAAATGCAGAAAAATTATCCAATCATAATGAAAATACCAGGTGCACACCTTCATATGGCAAATAATAAGTGTACAAATTTTCAGACAAATCCTTCCAACAGTTTCCAAGAAATGGTCAGGACAAAATCTCGTCTACAGACAGACGGACAGACAGACGGACAGACAGACGGACATGCTGATTCCAATATACCCCCCCTAAACTTCGTTTGCGGGGGGTATAATGAGAGTTATACAACAAATAATTTGTCAGCCAGGGAACTGAACACTTTATATTACATTTTACATGATGTAGGACAGAAGCTATGTTAAGTCTCATCAGCACAAAATCTGGAGTAGTTTGTCAAACACAACAAAGTTAACAACTAAAACTAAGTACATATTAAAATAACCCGAATTAAATCTTAAGTATATTATCTGAAAATTATATAGCTATTAATTACAACTTATAAATTAATATCCTAATCTTATAAACATTTCTTGTGAATTAATGCAACAAGTTAGAATTCAATTAACCATGTCATGTAATTACACATAAAACTATCAGTATATTCATTAATGTCTTATAGTTACACATAAAACAATGACTATAATATATTGTACACACTAAACATTGTAAAAGGAAACAGATTAACATACTTTTGTATTACTTACCGGTCAGATTATCCCCTCCATAGATAAGTCTGTATATGTTTACTGTGTTGTTGTTCCATGATCCCACCAAGAACAGGTTAGTGATGTCATCATAACTCAGGCTCCATGGTGAGTCTATCCTGTGTTGTGATGTCAGTATCAATGACAGGAATTGTCCGTCTTTATCAATCATCTGTACTGTGTTGGTGTTATCATCACACACCAGGATGTGTGACAGCGCGTCAGTACAGATTCCACTTGGTGATAGTCGTGATCCTGATGGAGGTCCTGTGTAGGAGAAGCGATGTTTACCTCCCTGATCTGTCACCACTACAGCATCACGGTCCCAGTCAGACACAATAACATCTCCATTGCGGTTCTCTGTGATGTAGATAGGTACTCTATACAGTCCCTGACCTGTATTGTTGTTGTGCTGTATGGTCTGTATGTGTTCTCCTGTGTTATTGTAACGGTTTACCTTGCCTGTATTACCTCTATACATCCCGACCAGCAGGTCTCCAGTGGAGGGGGAGCTGTAGACACACTGTGGTATCCATGGTGCTGTGTTGTACTTTATTAATGTAGTCTGTACTGTGTGATCTGTAGAGAGTTTGTGGATGTTACCGTGACTGTCTATATAAATTAAATCACCGTCCCGAGTCACTGTGTGTACTCCAGCTCCATATTCAGTTATATCAGTCAGATGATGTAGTTTATCACCTGCTGTGTTTGTCAAGATGAGATTGTTATATCTATCACTGATCCAGACCCGGTCTGGTGATACACGGGTAATGTGACAACACTCACTAACACCTGTCACTGTGAGAGATTTCTGTAACACTAATCTATACATCATTGACAGCAGACATTTATTTCATCTTTATCCTGTGGTTTTATAACAGAATCCCGTGTGGATTTCCTCAGTCAGGGAGATTTCTCTGTAAATTACAACATTGTGTTAGAATTATTGACATCAATAACAGGGCTCTCTTACTCATATAAAATTGTTTTGGTTTAAAGAATTTATAGAATTGAATAGAATTAAGTACCAGATAAACATAAATAGAATTAAGTCCCAGATAAACATAAATACCTTTACACTGGGTGCTGAGTGATTTCTATGTTTCAATGCTTTCAAGTGTCCTCAATGAAACCTGTCTAACAAAGTGTAAATTAGAAATTAAAACCACATCAATTGTGAAATACTGGAAATACTTAAACTTTATAATTTACAAAAGAATAATCATGATAAACACTGCTTTCTTACAAATACTAATTCATAACTTATGTTCTACTATGACACTCTATAGATAGGTATGATTACAGTGTGTCATGTTATAACATTAAAACAGTGTAACATAGAGAGGTTCTACTATGACACTCTATAGATAGGTATGATTTATACAGTGTGTCATAAGTTATAACATTAAAACAGTGTAAGATTGAGATGTTCTACTATAACACTCTATAGATAGGTATGATTTATACAGTGTGTCATAAGTTATAACATTAAAACAGTGTAAGATTGAGATGTTCTACTATAACACTCTATAGATAGGTATGATTACAGTGTGTCATAAGTTATAACATTAAACAGTGTAAGATTGAGATGTTCTACTATAACACTCTATAGATAGGTATGATCACTGTGTGAATTCACAGTTATAAAAACTAATAAAGTAACAGAGAAATGTATACCACACTGATTTCTTGTATCTGGTAATTTTTCATCTCGTGTCTGTGTTCTGGGTAAAGAAAACAAAGAACATTATCATATATCACGTCTATAAAAAGTTTATACTTTATCTTATTTTATTCAATCATGACAAAATTGTGTCTACTATTTGAAATATCAATATAAATCTTTATAGCTTTAATCTTGATCCATTGTTTGCTTTACCTTGATTGTTTTTAGCCATTCTTAAACAAGAGGCCCATGGCCACAACGCTCACCTGAGTAACTTTGGCCCTGCTGTTCTTCACCAGATTTTCTCCCTTGTAATATTTATTGTGGCCCCACACTACTGCCAAGGGGGTCATGATTTGAATAATTTAGAATCTACACTGCCTTAGGAAGCAGTTTCAGCTTTTCTGGCCCAGTGGTTCTTGAGAAGAAGATTTTTAAAGATTTTTCCTATATATTTCAATGTAAAAATTTGATTCCCTATTGTGGCCCCACCCTACCACTGGGGACATGTTTTGAAAAATTTAGAATCTATAATACCCAAGGATGCTTTCACATAAGTTTCAGCTTTTCTGGCCCTGTGGTTCTTGAGAAGATTTTGAAAGATTTTTCCTATATTTCAATGTAAAACTCCGATTCCCTATTGTAGCCCCACCCTTCCCCTGGGGCCATGATTTGAACAATTTAGAATCTACACTTCCCATAAATGCGTTGAAAAAAGAGTATATGATACCAATATATCATATAAATATTTAGCCTAAACTATATGTACAATACGCAAGTTTCCATGGAATTATTAATTTCATAAAACAATATTTCTATGTCTTTAATTTATTTTCTAAACAGAAGCTAAATGGCATATTTTATTTCGCAAGAAAATGATTGAAATGTTTGGTAAAACTCAGCAGCTTCTGGTCCCTCACCAGCAGGCACATAGTTTGGGGGGGGGGGGGCAGTGGGGGCTCAGTCTGTGCCCCCCCCCAAAAAAAAATTTCCAAACCTAACCAATGTTCAGAGGAAGGGTGATTCCCCTTTTTTTGTTGTAGAGCAGTTAAATAATGGTAATTTGGTAATGGTAATAATTAAATTCTGTTTAGTGAAAGTTGGAACTTAACTCCCCTCCCAGAACCCCTGCTGTTCTTCACTTCCATTCCGTTGTGCACCTGACCTAATTCTGCTGAAGGCACTACAACTCTGATTCCCTATTGTAGTCCCATTGTAGCTTCCATATAACTTTCAGCTTTTTAGCCCAGTGGAGATTTTTTTAATGACCCCACCCTATTTTGTCTTTTCTTGATTATCTCCCCTTATAAAGGGACATGACCCTTCATTTAAATAACTTAATCTCCCCTTTACCCAAGGATGCTTTGTACCAACTTTGGTTAAAATTGGCCTAGTGGTTTTTGAGAGGAAGTTGAAAATGTGAAAAGTTAACAGACAAACAGATGGACAACAGAGTGATCAGAAAAGCTCACTTGAGCTTCCAGCTCAGGTGAGCTGAAAAAACAATTAAATGTACTGAATGCATTTATTTTATAGTTTATGAACTTATGAACTTTTACATTTGAAGAAAATATGTAAACCTGTAAGGTGGGCATTTTTTCATCCTTTTAACAACTACTCAGCACATCCTGTGGAATCTGTCAAAACAATTTAAGAACATTTAGCTATATATACATGTATATAATAGCTTTGAGCTTGTAAGACACTGTAGGTATGTAACTACAAATAATACTAGTGATACATAATAATACAATGTATAATATACATTTATTGCCTGATAGTGAGGGAGACATGAAGATTTCTTCGCCCATGAAAATGAACCTGACGGAAGTATTGCAGTAAAAATATTTGGACGTCACTCCCTCTTTCTCGCTTCCCAAGGGCGTGTTAAACAATTTTTTAATTTAAATTCAAACAACAAAGAACAGATGATGTTATTTATATCTAAAGCTTACTATTGAAAGAACTATGATTACAGAAATAAATTTAGAGAAAAGACAATATCCCGATCTGTTTTTTTTTTTTTTTTTTTTTCATTTTGAAAATATTCAAGACTACTTGCAAGACTTAGAAAATTAATATATACAAATGATCAGTATTTATTTTCACTAATCACAACGGTGCCTGATGTAAATTGTTTTCAAAATAGAATTCTAAAATTTCCTTGCAATTACATGTAGTCCATTAACATGCAACAGATGTGTGCTGGTCCCGGCATTATTCTTAAACTACGTCTTCATTGAGTCTATACCTTGATTTTAAGTAAATATATCTAAATAATAGAGCATTTCTCAGATGTAATGTTAAATTATATCATTTGATAAGTATTTTAAAACCGAAAAAATGTCACCCTGTAATAATATTCATGTTAAGAATCTGCTTATTTTATCCCCCCCCCTTTTTTTTCTGCCTTAAATGTAGAATGCACAATAACATGTACCCAACCTCGAGGAAATTAAAAGGATTAGAACCGCTGAAATATGAAGTTTGACACTGCATTTTTTTTTTTATACATACCGGACCCTTGTTTGGTTAAAATACAATTATTTCCCCTATACCACGAAGTAGACTGTTACACGGATAAACATTTTTTTTCATTCATTTATCTGTTTATATGTAATGAATTTATTTCTTTTAGAAAGAGGCATTCTTAATTATGAGTTTTACTCATCACTCATCAATCTTAGCCGGAAATATAAAAATAGAAGTTATCCCTCCCCCATCCCACAATTTTAGCTTAAACGTTCTGGTTTACAAGTATTCGTGTTGAAACATGTAGCATCATATTTTGATACATTTAAATTCTTTATTTTTCATGTACAGTAATTGTTGTATTTCTGTTCTTTTTACGCAAATGAACGAAATGTGAGATATACATGTATAACAGAGAGAGATACATTTTTTAATCCACCTGTCACTTCATTGTTGCGTAACTGACTGTTTGTGATATATCCGGCGAGTCCCGGCCGCCGAGTGCCTTTCTCTCTCACTCGCCGTACGTGTCATACATGTATATATATACAGCAGGGACACCTATTGTTATTTTCTCGCTACCGTACAGTATCACAGCGCTTCCGTTTGTGTACAATACCCATAGAAGTCCTAGGACCCTGTCACTGTGTTCAACAGTAATCAGATAAAATATACTTGTAACATGTGGGATGAATAATAATATTTTTGTGGTAAATTGAACAGGATTTTGAACTTTTTCATGTAAACCAAATCTTATTTTAATATTCTGATGAATTTAATGAGCTAAGTACAACAGGAAAATAAGTCACAGTAACTGTTAATGAGGGATAGATTGTGCATTAATTTAGAAATAATTCATACTGATATAAAACATGCTGATTCTCTGTTACATGACATTGTGAAAATACGATTTCATTTTCACGTTTAATGAATAAACTTTATTTGACGCCAAATCCTTGCATAATCTTTGGCTTGTTTCAATTTACTACAACAAGACGCTAAACTTTATATAGAAATATTTCAGATCTGTTGTTTTCCTTAACAAATCAACTATACACAGAGTAACTTCCGTGTGCATTCTACTTGTACAGTATGTCCTCATTTTCACATGTAAATGTCTACCTTTCTGCAAAAATCTTTGAAATATTTTTCCACTGAAGAGACTCAGTCCTAAATAAGACACATTATTGATTAAGGAAGCGCTATTTCCAGAAACAAATTCTGTTGGAAAAAGTTCTAATACGTCATTTTCAGGATGATTATACATGTAGATCGCGTGTGCCCCCCCCCCCCTTTCAAAACTTATTTACTACAAACTTAAGGTTAAGTTTCTTCATGTAATTAGCCCGTTTTAAGATATCCAACAATTAAAACATACAAAATATTAGCATTAAGATTAATTCTATTTATTTTAAGGACAGCACATGTCTCTGGACATGTTCAGTAAAAATTATTATATATGAATTGTGTTAATTTATCTAAGGATATGAATTAATTACGCTGAGGTTCTATGTGTATCAAACATTTATTTTTTCCCCATTGATTGTTTTTAATGACAGTACATGAAAAATCTCTATTTTTTAAAAAATATTATTGACGACACAAATGGAATCATGATCAATGTATTCAAGAAACATTATTATACGGTATGTGTTTTAACAACTAAAGGTTTTGAACTACTTAATTGTTACATGTTTCCGATGAAAATCTG